AATCACTCGGCATTATCTAGTGTGGTTGAGTGTGCACAAACCCTAAACCCCAGCAATTCCACCCCTAAGTATGTACCCTAGTGAAATCATGTCACATACAGACTAGGTGACCTGTACAAGAAAGTTCATGGCAGCACTGGCTGTGGAATAGCCCCAGCGGGAAACAATCCTAAGCCATCAACAGAAAAATGGGTAAATCAGATGTGGTGAATCTTCTCTTCTCTCCTCTGAAGGGCTGTGTGTCTGGGCAGCATATCCAAAGGCACGAAGGGCTGAAGCGTCTCTTGGTGGGGGTCCCCACAAGGAGAGAGGACACACCGAGTCCATCAGTGAGCATGGTCAGGAGCAGGGACACCTTCAGGATGACCAGGAGCAGGAAGAGGACCCTGCTAAGCAGGGACCCGGGAGGGAGGGACACGGGGACAGACACTGAGCTGCTGCCTCAGGAGGAAGGACCAGGTCCCTCCTTTCTGCCCCCAGATGTCTCTGATCCAAGACCCTGGACACCTAATAACCACATTTGGGCCAGACTTGGATATCTGGATATATACCCACCCCCAACCCCTCAGCTCAGCTGTTGACTTTGGACATTAGATGGTCCAATACTGAGAAGAGAGAGAGGGTTTGCCTGGGCAGGACCTGGCTCCACAAACAGCTGCTTTGTCCTAAGCCCTGCCCCTCCTTCTGCCATCCACGCTCCCAAGAACCCAGCTCAGGCTGGGACCGTTTTTGGTAATTTCTCATAGGTCAATGTCTACACAGGCTGGAGCTACATAGGTTCTTGGTGAATATTTGGCGAGTGAATGGAGGAAGGAAGGAATGTTGAGGTGGGAGGCTGCCCTGGGGGGTCTCAGGGGTCAGCATCATCAAAGAGCAGGCCCTCACCTTGGGCTCCTCTGGACAACCAGCCTGTGCTTGACACTCTCTGCTGGCATTTAGGGGTCCTATGGAACGCTTTCCCCCTTCTCCCAGCCAAGCACTATGCACATCTATGTTATACACACAACTCTGTGTGTGTGTGTGTGTGTGTGTGTGTGTGTGTCATATTTTATTGCATTTTCTCAAGATTTACTTAAATTTACCAGTTTTGGGGAGCAAGGTGAGAAGAGATAGAAGGTTTGGGGCCAGAAGTCCTTCCTCTTCTAGTCTGAGTGGCAGTGTCTCTGGACAGGATGTTGATAGACAAGTAGGGCTGCATGTTGTCTTCATCAGGTCGACTCTGTGTCCCACAAATTGCCCATTGAGGTCTGTTGACCCAGAGCACGGCACTGAGCATCATCAGAAACAGGGGCACCTTCAGGAGTATGAGAAGCAGGAAGTGGACGTTGCTAAGCAGAGACCTACAGGAAGACACAGTGACTGGCAGGAGTTTCCTCCTGAACAGGAGGCGCAGGCTCTGCCTTTCACCCCAGCCTTTGAGCTCAGATTCTGTGGCCCCAAAAGTCAATATCAGCATCAAATCTGGTGGGTACCAGCACCAGACAGCCCTTGCTGAGGGCCCCAGACTCCTGTCCTTCAGCTCAAGACCTGACCTTGAGCATCAGGACAAAGCAGATACATGAGGATGTGGTGGTGAGAAATTGAGAGAACGGGAGAAGAGGAGACCCAGGAGGCTCTGGCTCCCAGAAACTCTCTGAGAGTTCACAAAGCAGATAGAACTCAGGGAAGGAGCGCACAGAGCTTCTGGGGCCATCATCTCCCATTAGCCAGACCCAGGCCTGGCCAGAGTGTGGCGTAGCCCCATTCAACACCATCCCAACCTGCTCAGCAATGGATGTATCATAAACCGGGACCAGAGAATCATCACCTTCCCCATTAAGCATTACAGCATTCCTCCTCTCACTGGAAACAAGAGTGTTTGAAAGTGGGCACCAGAGCAAGACCTCAGGTCCCACCCCCAGACAGTGCATCCCCCTGCCTTGTCCACCCTGCCAGAAGACTGCAGAGGTCACTTCAAGAAGTTTGATAATGGGACACACAACCCTGGAGGACAGGAGGGTATACAAGCTGCCTGGATTCTAATAGAGATGCATAGCCCAGAACTCCCCTTGTGGACACAACCCTCAGAGTTCCCGAGGCCCAAGGCTCTTGTCAGGAGACTGGGCTCATGGCAGGGACCTTGGATGTCACAGTCCCGCCGTCCTTCATTCTCAGGGGCTTGCACACATACTCTCTCGTGCACACAAGCACACACATGTTCTTTCACACTTGTGCACACTCCCACCACTCACATTTCTCTCACACTCACACCCACACAGCCCACTTGGTCCCCAGTCTCTGAGGCACAGACACCAGGCCTGGTTCTGCACTCCTGAGTTTAGAGTTCGTCAGATGCTCTGCAGGGATTAGCTCAGATCCCTTCCTCTGTGGCAGCAGAGAAAAGCAGGGTCTTACCTGGGGGAAACAAACACTTGAACCTGGAAAAAGAGGTCAGGCAGGAAACCATGGAGTCCTTCTTCTTGCAGTATTGTTGCAATCCCACACCTGTATTTTCCTGCATCATCTGCAGTGAGGTTCTCCAAGGTCACTGTGAAGGTGAGTTCTTCAGCATGGTCCACGATGGACACACGGCCACTCCTCATCTTTTCCTCAGACCTTCCAGTGGCCACAGTTGGGTTCCAAAGTAGTAAGCATGGTTGTCGGCACCAGTATTTGGTAAATGTCTTGTACTTCTCCTCGTACTGACACTGCACGCTGAGGGATCCCCCCACGGTGCCCATCACAGTGCTGGGGCCACTCAGAGACAAAGAGCCTGAAAGACACCATCAGTATTTTCTTCACCTGGAGACCTGGGCTGGAGGTGCATTGTGGGGTCGCATCCCCTGGAAGCCCAGACGTCACCCTGAGGTTGGAGGAGGGAAGGGTTAGGAACCAAGGAGGCCTGGGCTGTTAGCCTGAGGTCCTCCAGACACAGGTTTGTGGCTGGGGGTGGGGTGGGGACATCAACACTCCAACTTCTCTGTGCCATTGCTGCTAACGGGGGCTCAGGCTATAGGGGTGCCTGGTGGGGGTGAGTGGACCCTTCAGAGCAAGCTTCCCTCTTTGCCTCCTCTTTCAGTTGCTTAAGCCTTGCTCCCAGCCTTGAAGATGTGGGGCTGCTTCCTCGGGGCTGGATGAGAAAACGTTATCAGGGATGCTCTGTTATACCCAGACATGACCCTGAACAAGCACGGTGTCCCCCTCACCCACACTCCACTCCTCTACCCCCACAGCAGGCTTCCTGCCCACCAGGGACTAGGAAAGAAACTCCCGACTCCCAAGTGCACTGTAAGACATTCAACAAAACCCTTGGCCCCTCCACCCTAAATACCAGTAGCCCCCTTCCCCCAGTGGCAAGAGCCAAAATTGTCAACTGGCATTGTCTAATGTCCCCTGGGAGTAAGTCATCCCTGCTGAGAGCCACCGCTTTAGAAGAAGAGGGTTCGTCCAAGAAAACCTGGGGTAGAAATTCCCAGGCAAGAGGGTGGACTGTGGGTTCCTGTCCTTGGCATGTCCTCTGTCCTGGTGAGCATGCTGTATATTGCAGCTGTTCTTTCCTGGCATCTCTTCCCCACCAGCTCAGTCCCAAAGGGTCATGGGTCATGGTGCTCTCTGCCCTGTGTCTCAGCTGCCTCTCAGGGGCTGCTTGCTCCTCTCCTGCCCCAAGTTCTTTCTAAGATCCCAAGGGACCATATTTGCTCTGTAACCATCAAGCCCCTGATGTTTCCTACACCTTGTAAAGATGCTGCCTTTATAATCTTAAAAAATAATTATAAAGTTAAACAGACCTCGGGTTCTGTGCCTATGAGTGTAACGGCAAATAATTGGCTAGACAGAGAGGTTTATCTCCTTGAGAAACAGGAGTCTGGCTTAGCTTGAGGTTTCTTCTGGCCCCCCTGATGGGCTGTGGTGACTTGTCCACAGCATCTCTGTTCCTGGAAGGTCACAGTCTAGAACCTGGGCTCGTGGGTTTTCCCTTTGTCTGCCATCAATCTTCCTACTGGGCAACCAGCTCCTGTGCATTTTCAGACTCAGGCTTACAGACCAATTGAATCATAACTCTCCTTAATTACAGAAAGTCTTCTCGATATCGAGATAAAAAGTAGGAAAAGAGAAGCTTGCATTGCTGGAGGCTGCTTCAAGAATGAGACTTCTTCCCTGAACTCTTCACAGTCCCGATGCCAGAGTGATAAACCGAAAGGATCCTATTCAACATGGACGGGACTGGAGGAGATTATGCTGAATGAAGTAAGTCAAGCAGAGACAGTCAATTATCATATAGTTTCACTTACTCGTGGAGCATAAGGAATAACATGGAGGACATTAGGAGAAGGAAGGTGAATTGGTGGAAATTGGAGGGGGAGACGAACCATGAGAGCCTGTGGCCTCGGAGAAACAAACTGAGGGTTTTGGAGGGGAGGGAGGTGGGGAGATGGGTGGGCCTGGTGATGGGTATTAAGGAGGGCACGTATTGCAAGGAGCATTGGGTGTGGTGCATAAACAATGAATCCTGGAACAGTGAAAGAATCAAATTAAATAAAAAAAAAACAACAGAAAGAACCCAAAAGGATCCTATTCAGTATGACCTAGTTGAGAGTTTAATTTTTTTTTTTTTATCTTGCTGATCCTATTCCTAAAGGGCAGTGGGGCTGTGTCTTTTCATGCCCAAGAAGCCCAGTGTCACTCTGCAGGACACACCTATTGGCTGTAGGCCAACTCAGATTTATCTTTGTAAATGTAACAAATTCCTTCTTAGATACTCAAATTTATAATAAATTTATATCGCCTATCCCAGTCACCAAAACATGGTGTTTTAAAGGTGCTTTATTCGGGCTCCTGGGTGGCTCAGTGGGTTAAGCCGCTGCCTTCAGCTCAGGTCATGATCTCAGGGTCCTGGGATCGAGTCCCGCATCGGGCTCTCTGCTCAGCAGGGAGCCTGCTTCTCTCTCTCTCTCTCTCTCTCTCTCTCTCTCTCTGCCTGCCTCTCCGTCTACTTGTGATCTCTGTCAAATAAATAAATAAAATCTTAAAAAAAAATAAAATAAAGGTGCTTTATTTTTTAAACTTATTTTTTAATTTAATCACCTCCCTAAAGTATTGTTATTATTGTTGTTGTTGTCGTTGTTAATTTGAGAGACAGAGAGAGAAGAGAGCATGAGCAGAGGGAGGGGCAGAGGGAGAATGAGAGGGAGAAGCAGAATCCCCACTGAGCACGGAGCCTGATGTGGGGGTCTATGCCAGGACCCCAGGATCCTGACCTGAGCTGAAGGCAGACATTCAACTGACTGAGCCACCCAGGGGGCCCCCTAAAGCATTATTATTTAAAAGTCAGTCAAAGTTTAAAATTCTATGATGTGTTTGTCTCTCCAGTCAGCTTTATCATGCCGAGTTTCTTTACGTTCTGAGTTTTAGCGTCCTGTTTGGGGAGTGATATTTTTAAGGGTTTTGGTGCACCTTGATTAATATAGCTAGAGGTGGGGAAAATGGGATTAAGGTAATAAAGATTCTTTCCTACTTGGGTTCTGAAGGTTGGCTCTGACATCGGATTACTTTGTATTCTAATTCCTACACTTGTGTTTGCATAGGATCAGAACAAACTGGTGGGTTGTCTTAATTTTTTCTCCCATTTATAATAAAATATTTTCCTTCCAGTGTTTAAACACAAGAAAGAGAGAAACTATGCTTATGGGAACTCTCAGAACCCACCATTGTTGATGGGAACTCTCAGAGTAGGACTGCCCACAAGTGCCCAACACTTTCAGCTTTGAGCAGCTCCTAGTGCAGGGCCCCTGAGGCCAGCCCAGGCCTGTCAGAGGCACAGGGACGCTATCAGCACCTGGAATACATAACCGCCATTCACAAGGAGGCTTACGCATTAAGTGACCATTGTATTATTAAAAAAAAAAAAAGGTGATAACTTGGGAAAGAAGTATTATAAGAAGAGGGAGGACCTTGAAAATGAAAGTATTTTTCTTAACCTTTGTGCCTTTTATGAACCAATCTAGAGTAAATAATTTGCAAATATATGGCAAACCCATGAAGAAAACAAGGAGAACATAAATGTAAAATTCATAGTTGGTTTCCTCAGAGGGCAGCTTGAAACAATATTAATGATGTTTATTACTTAAGCTGTGAGGTGGGCACCCAAGGGTTGAAGAGTATTTGGGCTGTAAGGAGTATGCATTTATTGGGAACATTCTTTGTATCTATGAAAGATTGCAAGGAAGTTACAAAAGAGTTTACAGAGTATTCGGAATGAAGTAAGAACGGTGGCTGGAGGTGTCGGTCAGAAGGCCATTCCCATCCATCAGATGGGCTGTGTTCCTGGGCGGGTCATCGATGGGCAATTGGTGTTACTGATTTTAGTTATTGGGCTGATGCCGCCTCCCCACCCCAGATCCCCTCTGAGGCCTGTTCCCTCAGAGGACAGCACTGAGCATGCTCAGGACCAGGGGCACCTCCAGGAAGACCGGGAGCCAGAAGTAGATGCTGCTGAGAAGGGACCTGTGAGGGACAGTGACAGGCAGTGAGCCACGTCCTCGGGGAGATGCCCTGGTACCTTCCACTTTCCTTCTGTCCCTGTGCCCATGTCAGATGGGCTGTGTTCCCGGGTAGGTTGTCAATGGGCAATTAGTGTTACTGATTTTCATTATTGGGTCCCTGTCGAGGCTGCTGCAGATCCCTAGGATCACAGCTGTGAGGCTGGTGCTCAGAAACCATCCAGGACACAGTGATGTCCTGTTAGAGCCCCGGGGTCCTGGGCAGCCAGTAAGGGAGAGGAGCCAGTGCCCTAAGGGGAGGACAGAGAGAGGTCCAGGAAGAGGCTCAGGACACCTTCAGCATGGTCAGGACCCTTGTCAGGACAGGAAGGCAGCCAGCCATCTCCAGACTCGGGGCCATTCGCACTGCCCACGCTGGGAGAGCTTTAGTCATGAGAGTGTGTCAGGGCGGGGCACACAGAGGCGACTAGGTCAGCTAGAGGTGTGCATGTGCTTATGTGAGTGTACAGACAACACAATGCCTGCACACACACTTACACACACATGGACATATACACAGACACCCATGCAGACATATACACAGATACAACACATACACACACACACACACACAAACACATGGACACGGACACGGACACACACATCTGCCGTGCCCTGCATCACTCAACCCATCCTCACCCCCCTCTTCTATCCCCTGTCCCACCACTTTCCTGACAGGGTCGGGGTGATCAGCCCCAGTCTCAGGCAGCCCTAGTGCTGGTGTCGGGGGAGGGGTGTGCACAGCTCACCTGGGGTCACAGACAACACAACTCGGAAGGTGAGGTCGAGCAAATATTCTGGGAGCCATGATGTATCGATGCCACACCGGTATGTTCCTCCATCACCTTCTGTGAGGTTCTCCAAGGTCACTGTGAAGGTGAGGTTTGCAGGTTGGTCCCTGATGGACACACGGCCACTCCTCACTTCTTTGTCTGCCTCTTCAGTCTTCACAATATCCCCCATACATGGGGTCTTGCACCAGTACTTGACATTCTCTTTGAACTTCTCCTCGTACTGACACTGCACGCTCAGGGATCCCCCCACGGGGCCCGTCACGGAGGTGGGGCCACACAGAGACCAACAACCTGGAAAACACAGCCAAGTGTGACCCCTCCCCAGATGGGCCTGGGTCAAGGGGATCTGGGGTCATGGTGATCCTGGTGTCCATGAAGGGCCCTTGGGGTCTGGAGGAGACCTTGGCAGAACTGGCTTTTCCTGAAACCAGAGGGGAGGGATGTATCTCCCTCCTCCCAGAGTGGCACAAGGAGAGGGTGTTCCTGGTGTGTGTGTGTGTGTGTGTGTGTGTGTGTGTGTGTGTGTGTGTGATGCACTAAGACCTTGTTTCTGACTGTGACACTACAGTAATGGAAGTCACAGGAGCCCCTCCACTCAGGACTGCTCTGTCCACTATAATGGACATGACTCACCTGCTTTATGCACTGAATCCTCCTGGTCACTGCTGAGGCAGTGCTGGCCGATCTGAGAATCCTCTGCTCTCCGTCCTCCTCATGTCCTTCCTCCCTCCCCTTTGGTCGCCCTGTACTCCCATCCCGCTGCCTCCCTCCCCCCCACTCAGGGCAGACTTCCCTACCCAGCTCAGCCCCGCTCACCTGGGACCTGCAGAAGGAGCAGCGCTGCAGGCAGCCACGGCCTCCCGTCCCCTGGGGTCATGTCTGCAGCACAGACGTCACCCACAGCAATGCCAGGCTCCTGAGGGGGGATAATTTCAAGCCTCCTCACGGAGATTCCAGTCTGCAGGGCCCACTTCTGCTTTCTGACACCTCTTTGCTTCCTCATCCTGCCTGTGTTTGGTCTCACAATCTTCCTCCACGTTGACTCAAGGAGGTTGGGGTGCAGGAAGCTCAGGGACAGCAGCAGCAAGGGCTGAGGCAGAGTCCTGGACCTGGTGCCTGAATCCATTCAATCCAGATGACAGGACGGCTACTGGTCCAGGTCTAGATTGGGATTGCCGTCCCCTTCCACAGCCAACATCTGCTCCTCTCACTGACCACACTCGCCCCACACAATGGAGCAACACTAGAGCATTTCTTCCTCAGTGGGACTTCCTCACCCCTGTGACATGTCACTTCCTCATGGTCAGAATGGACCATGTCCGGGGTGGAGCCCCCAGCAGCCCATCCTCTCAGGCATTGGTGGTGACTACAGTGGTGTTAGGGGCCCCCTCGGGCCTATAGCTCCAAGCACCCCCAGCCTCCATGGGACCCCTGCTCTCCTCTGGCCACACAAGTTGGAACTGTGACCTCAGATATTTCACAAGTTCCATCTGGCTCTGGGTTATAATATTAATCCTCCAGGGTTGCTTCCCTCCAGTGTGTTTCCCTGTTCTCAAGACATGGACATGAAACAGCCATCACCAACCCCATGTGCACCTCACTTTGCCTCTTTCTTCTTTGGAATGTCCATTCTACTGTGACTCACAGGGAGGGGACTGACAACGACAATGGACGAAAGGGTCCAGAGATTCAAGGAGCTGATGGGACACTGGGGACATGTGACGCTGAGACTGGGCTTCTCCTCTCCATCCAGTGGCAAGAGGAGCCATTGTGTAACAAGAGGGTGGTCTGCCAAAGCACTGGCTGCTGGTGTCCCTTTTGGGTTCACATGGTGACCAGGAGCCTCTTCAAGGTGCAGAGATGAGGGATGGTCCTTGACAGGTGGTGGGGAGGTGGGTCTGTCCTAACTCAAACTGAGTGAATGACTAAACACTGCATTGGCTGCAGACATGGCCCTAGGCAACTGTGGTCCAACAAGATGTAATATCTATGGTGATAGAACAAATTCCCCCAAAACTTCGTGGCTGAAAACAATATTATCTCACACTTGCTGAGAGTCACAAATCTGAGAGTGGCTTATCTAGGTGGTTGTGGCTCAGAGTGTCTCTTTCACAAAGTTGTGGTCAAGATATTTACCAGGCTCTACTCATTGGAAGGCTTCACTGGACTGGAAGATGATTTTTGTGTGTTCGTCTTATATCCCATGATGAACTCACCTCTTAGTTCTATGAGGTTTTGAGGATTGCTTGAGATTTTCTACATAGAGAATTATGCCATCTGCAAATAGGGTCAGCTTTATTCTTCTTTTCCTTTATCCAGGCCTGTATTTCTTTTTCTGGCTTAGCGTAAGGGCCATAATTTCCAGTGCTAAGGTGAATAACAGTAGTGAGAGTGGGCATCTCTACCCTGCTCAGGACCTTAGAGGGAAAGCATTTAGTTTTTCATAGTTACGTATGTTAGCTGTATTTCATTTTTAGATGATCTTCATGAAGTTGAAATTCCTTCTATTCTGCTTTTTATGAGTTTCTTTTTTATCATGAGTGGGTGTTGGAATTTGTCCTATGATTTTTCAGTGTCACTTGATATGATCCTATGATTTTTCTTCTTTAGTTTGGTATTGGGGATTGCAAGGATTGATTTTTCCATGTTGAACCAGCCTCGCACACCTGGAATTAACCTCACTCCATCGTGAGGTATAATTCCTTGCTGGATTATATTGGATAATATTTTGTGGAGGATTTTTGTGTCTATGTTCATGAGACATACTGGCATTTCATCTCATTTTGGTTTTTTTCCCCACTCTTCCCCTATGATCCTCTGTTTTTCTTTAAAGATTTTATTTATTTATTTGACAGAGAGAGAGAGAGATCACAAGTCGTCAGAGAGGCAGGCAGAGAGAGGGGGAAGCAGGCTCCCCACTGAGCAGAGAGCCCCGATGGCTCAATCCCAGGACCCTGAGATCATGACCTGAGCCAAAAGCAGAACCCACTGAGCCACTCAGGCGCCCCCTCTGTTTTGTTTCTTAAATCCACCTATCGTGAGATCATATGATAGTTGTCATTCTCTGATTGACTAAATTCACATAGCATAATACCCTCTAGTTCCATCCCCATTGTTGCAAATGACAAGATTTCTTTTTTTTTTTTTTTTTAATGGCTGGGTAATGCACCACATCTTCTTTATCTATTTGTCTGTTGATTGATCTGGGCTTCTTCCACAGTTTGGCTATTGTGGACGTTGCTACTACAAACACTGGATTGCAGGTGTCCCTTCGGATCACTACATTTGTATCTTTGGGGTAGATACCTAGTAGTGCAATTGCTGGGTCGTAGGGTAGCTCTATTTCAACTTTTGAGGAGCCACCATGCTATTTCCCAGCTTGGATTCCCACCAATGTAGTAAAAGTGTTACCCTTCCTCCACATCCTCATCAGCATCTGTCATTTCCTGACTTGCTAATTTTAGCCATTCTGACTGGTGTAAGGTGATCTCATTGTGGTTTTGATTGTATTTCCCTGATGCCACGTGATGTGGAGCATTTTTTCATGTGTCTGTTGGCCATTTAGATGTCTTCTTGGAGAAATATCTGTTCATGTCTTCTGCTTATTTCTTGACTGGTTGATTTGTTCTTTGGGTGTTGAGTTTGGTAAGCTCTTTATAGATTTTGGGTATTAGCCTTTTATCTCATAAGACATTTGCAAATGTCTTCTCCCTTTCTGTCAGAAATCTTTTGGTTTTGTCAACTGTTTCCTTTGCTGTGCAAAAGCTTTTTATCTTGATGATGTCCCAATAGTTCATTTTTTGCCTTTGGAGACGTGTATAGCAAGAAGTCACTGGGGCCGAGGTTGAAGAGGTTGCTGCCTGTGTTCTCCTCAAGGATTTTGATGGGTCCCTGTCTCATATTGAGGTCTTTCATCCATTTTGAGTCTATTTTTGTGTGTGGTGTAAGTCTATTTTCCCAACACCATTTGTTGAAGAGACTGTCTTTTTTCCATTGGCTATTCTTTCCTGCCCTGTCAAAGATAGTTGACCATGGAGCTGAGGGTCCATTTCTGGGTTCTCTATTCTGTTCCATGGATTTGTGTGTCTGTTTTTTGTGCCAATACCAGGCTGTCTTGATGACGACAGCTTTGTAATAGAGCCTAAAGTCTGGAACTGTGATGCTGCCAGTTTTGGTTTTCTTTTTCAACATTCCTTCGGCTATTCGGGGTCTTTTCTGGTTCAATACGAATTTTAGGATTATTTGTTCCAGCTGTGTGAAAAAAAATTTATGGTATTTTGATAGGGATGGCATTGAATGCATAGATTCCTCTAGGCAACACAGACATTTTGACAATATTTGTTCTTCCAAGTCACAAACATGGAACTTTTTTCCATTTCTTTGTGTCTTCCTCAATTTCTTTCATGATTGTTCTATAGTTCTCTGAGTACTGATCCTTCGCTTCTTTGGTTAGGTGTGTTCCTAGGTATCTTATGGTTTTTGGTGCAATTGTAAATGGGATAGACTCCTTAACTTCTCTTTCTTCTGTTTCATTATTAGTGTATAGAAATGCAACTGATTTCTGTGCATTGATTTTATATCCTGCCACACTGTTAAATTCCTGTATGAGTTCTAGATGTTTGGGTGGGGGAGTCTTTTGGGTTTTCCACATAGTATCATGTCATTTGGGAAGAGTGAGAGTTTGACTTCTTCCTTGTTGATTCAGATGCTTTTTTATTTCTTTTTGTCGTCTGAAGGCTGAGGCTAGGCCTTCTAGTACTCTGTTGAATAGCAGCCATGATAGTGGACATCCTGACCTTAAGGGGAAAGAGCTCAGGTTTTCCCCCATTGACAATGATATTCGCTGGGGCTTTTTGTATATGGTTTTATTATACTGGGATATGTTCTCTCTATCCCTACACTGTGAAGGGTTGTAATCAAGGAAGGATGCTGTACTTTGTCAAATGTTTTTCTGTATCTATTGAGAAGATCATATGGTTCTTGTCTTTTCTTTTATTTATGTAGTGTATCACATTGGTTGGTTTGTGGATGTTGAACCACCCTTGCAAACCAGGAATAAATCCATCTTGGTTGTGGTGAATCATCCTTTACTGTTGGATCTTATTGGCTACTATCTTGGTGAGAATTTTTTCATCCATGTTCACCAGGGATGTAGGTCTATAATTTTACTCTGTGATGGAGTCTTTGTCTGGTTTTGGAATCAGAGTAATGCTGGCCTCAAAGAAGAGTTTGGAAGTTTTCTTTCCATTTCTATTTTTTGAAACAGCTTCAGAAGAATAGGTATTTATTCTTCTTTAAGTGTTGGGTAGAATTCCCCTGGGAAACCATCCAGTCTTGGACTTTTGTTTGTTGGGAGTTTTTTTTAAGATTTGATTTATTTATTTGACAGAAAGAGATCACAAGTAGGCAGAGAGGCAGGCAGAGAGAGGAGGAAGCAGACTCCCCACTGAGCAGAGAGCCTGGTGTGGGGCTCGATCCCAGGACCCTGGGATCACGACCCGAGCCAAAGGCAGAGGCTGTAACCCACTGAGCCACCCAGGCGCCCATGTTGGGAGATTTTTTATTATTGCTTCCATTTCCTTGCTGGTTATGGGTCTGTTCAGGTTTTCTATTTCTTCCTGTTTCAGTTTTGGTAGTTTATGTGTCTCTAGGAATGCATCCGTTTTTTCCAGATTGCCTAATTGGCTGGCCTAGAGTTGCTCATAATATGTTCTTAAAATTGTATTTCTTCAGAGTTGGTTGTGATCTCTCCTCTTTCATTCATGATTTTATTTATTTGGGTCCTTTCTGTTTTCTTTTTGATAAGTCTAGCCAGGGGTTACCAAACTTATTCTTTCCAAGAACCAGCTCCTAGTTTCATTGGTCTGTTCTACTATTCTTTCGGATTCAATTTATCGATTTCTGTTCTAACCTTAATTATTTCTCTTCTCCTGCTGGGTTTAGGCTTTATTTGCTGCTCTTTCTCCAGCTTCTTTAGGTGTAAAGTTAGGTTGTGTATTTGAGACCTTTCTTGTTTCTTGAGAAAGGCTTGTATTGCTACATAATTCCAGCTTAGGACCACCTGTACTACATGCCAGAGGTTTTGAACACTTATGTTTTCATTTTCCTTTGTTTCCATGAATTTTTTAAATTCTTCTTTAAGATTATTTATTTATTTCTTTATTTGACAGAGATCACAACTAGGCAGAGAAGCAGGCAAAGAGAGAGGAGGAAGCAGGCTCCCCGCCGAGCAGACAGCCTGATGCGGGGCT